AAAAAATAGGAAGTCCCCGTTACTGCTGAATATTGAGGATGAAGCATGCATTAGATAACGAAGTCCGTGGTTCGATTGCAATTCCTGTCCTTGAAGCATCTGGTTCTTGTTGTACAGTCCTGGAACTTGTAACATGTAGGGAAAAACCAAACTTTGATGTGGAGATGGACTCTGTTTGCCGTGCTCTGCAGGTTAACTAACCATATCTCTCTTCTCTTTGTGTGTATGTGTCTTTCTTTTATCTAATCCCATCCAGTGCTTAGTGTTCTTCTTCATTAGTAGAGAATAACTAGGAGGAAATGAAGTTTTTTAATAGTGAGGTTTGGAGGAAATCTTCTCTAAATTTGATTGCTGATTCTTTTTAATTTTCTTATACTCCACCAAGACCAAGTTAATATGAAACAATAATCGCGGCGAGACTCATGTTTTTGTCTATTTTTGTCAGGCCGTGAACTTACAAACATCAACTATTCCTCGTTGTCAGGTACATCTGAGCACAATAATAACTAGTTCTTTCTTGTTTTTAATTCTGTGCTTTAATCTTATAGTGTCTTTGTTTTAATTGTAGTACCTTTCAAGTAATCAAAAAGAAGCTTTGGCTGAAATAAGAGATGTTCTCAGAGCAGTGTGTCATGCACATAGGTTGCCTTTAGCTCTAGCTTGGATTCCCTGTAGTTACTCCAAGGGAGCAAACGGTGAATTGGTAAAGATTTATGGCAAAAATTCAAAGGAATGTTCTCTTCTTTGCATAGAAGAGACAGCATGTTATGTGAATGATATGGAAATGGAAGGCTTTGTGAATGCATGCTTAGAGCATTATCTAAGAGAAGGGCAAGGAATTGTTGGCCAAGCACTCATATCAAACAAACCGTCTTTCTCATCTGATGTAAAGACATTCGATATCTGCGAGTACCCTCTTGTTCAACATGCTCGAAAGTTTGGTCTTAATGCTGCAGTTGCTACCAAACTGAGGAGCACATTCACTGGTGACAGTGACTATATACTTGAGTTTTTCTTACCTGTAAGTATGAAGGGAAGCTCAGAACAACAACTTTTGCTGGACAGTCTCTCGGGCACGATGCAGAGAATATGTCGAACTCTAAGAACTGTTTCAGATGCCGAATCAGCTGAAGGTACTGAATTTGGATTTCTTAGTGGAGAAATGACAAATCTCCCACAGGCTACTGTATCCGATGGAAGCTTTCAGACAACATTCCCGGATACTAACGTCAACTCTACTCGAAGTAACTTTTCGAACATGTCCTCTGATAAAAGAAATGAAATGGCAGGTTCTCAAGGCACTCTTCAGCAGGTAATGATGCATCTAATCCATTTCTAGATAGTGCATGGCCTATAGATATTTTGATACATGCTGCTAGGTATAGAGACTGAGTATTTTTTACATCTTACATAGGAAATTAGCGGAGCAAGAAGATCAGAGAAGAAGAAAAGCAGTACAGAGAAGAATGTGAGCTTAAATGTTCTCCAACAATACTTCTCTGGGAGCTTAAAGGATGCTGCAAAAAGCCTTGGTGGTGAGAACTAGTGCTCATTGCTTGTTTCCCTTACAAGTGATTCAATTGTTGACTTGGATGTTTTTCTTTTTCTTTCCTTCTGCAGTTTGTCCGACTACACTTAAACGGATATGTAGACAACACGGAATCATGAGATGGCCATCTCGCAAGATTAACAAAGTGAATAGGTCACTAAGGAAAATACAGACAGTGCTTGACTCTGTCCAGGGTGTAGAAGGAGGACTGAAATTTGACTCGGTAACAGGGGAATTTGTAGCAGTTGGCCCTTTTATACAAGAATTTGATACTCAAAAGAGTCTGTCTTCTCATGATGAAGATGCACTTGCAAGAAGCCAAGGTGATATGGATGAAGATGCGTCATTAGAGCCTTTGGAAGGTAAATCTCATGATGGTGGCGGGGTCAAGTTGGAGGAGGATGTTGAAACAAACCAAGCAGGATCAGGTAATAATAACTATATAGAATTTTGTTTTTTTGGAGAAGCTGTTAGAATGTGAATGATCTAACAAAAGCTATTCTCATTGTGTTCAGGATCCTTGAAGGAGCCATGGACTTGGATAAGCAAACAGTCTGGCTTGATCTATAGTGATGATATTGATATAGGAAAAAGGAGTGAAGAGGTAAAGAAGGATAAAGACCTTTGTGTTCGTAGGTGCTTGAGCTCTGTAGCACTTGCAGGCGATGATATGAATACAGGAATCGAGCGCGGTAATGGAATGGTAGAACCAAACCAATCCATATCAAGCAGCATGTCGGATTCATCAAATAGCTCAGGAGCAGTTTTGTTGGGAAGTTCATCTACTTCCATGGAACAAAACTGGAACCAAATAAGAACTCATAACAATAGCGGTGAGAGCGGATCAAGTTCAACACTGACAGTAAAAGCCACTTATAGAGAGGACACTGTACGTTTCAAGCTTGATCCATATCTTGTTGGGTGTTCTCAGCTGTACAGAGAAGTGGCTAAGCGTTTCAAGCTGCAAGAAAGTGCCTTTCAGTTGAAATACTTGGATGATGAAGAAGAATGGGTGATGTTGGTCTCAGATTCTGATCTCCATGAATGCTTTGAGATATTAAACAGTATGAGAAAACATACAGTGAAGTTTCTGGTCCGTGACATACCTGGAGCCGCAATGGGAAGTTCTGCAGGTAGCAATGGTTACCTCGGAACAGGCACCTGAGCATCAATCTTATTGTGCTTAAATATGTACAGATAATCTATGTTTGGTTTGACATTAGTTACTCATATAGAAAGACAAAAAAAAAAAAAAAAAAAGGGTCCAGTGGTGTTGAAAAATGTATATAAACATAGAAAGACACATATCTTATATTTTGGTTTCGAACAAGTCGTAGAAGTAATTCTTGAATATTTCAGAGACGCAAGGAGATAGAAGCTCAAATCTGTGGACTGCCGATTAAACATACATGTTTTTTTTTGTCATCATCTTCAACTGAAGGAAGTGAAGGAGGAGCTAAGTTTTGTGCAATCATCTCATGTAAAGAAGAGCTTGAATACAATGGAGAATTTACAACCTAACCATTATTCTGTTCAAGAGGTATATGCATTCGGATTTTTGGCTGGTAAAATTTAGTTAGTATTTGATTACAACGAACACACATTTGGCATGTTTATTGAAACAGGCAATGCTTTTACTTCTGGCTATGAGACAAAGGAAAAAAAAAAGGTACGGTCAAGTTTTTGGTTTGTTTTGAGAATATATCATTGTGTTCTGTTTTTGTTTGTCTAAAGTAGAAATCTGTAAATCATTGTATAAAGGCTCACAATTGTAGATTGTCTTTTGGAGTGACAATTAGCAAAAAACATCATCTTGTGGATTCCTTGTTTGTGTGTGTATTATATCTATTGAAGAGATATGCAAAAGACTCACAGTTGATCAGACTGTTTTCTTGGTCCACAAGTTATAAAGATTACGCTGGTTCTAACCAAAACATTGATGGCTCCTGTTTTCAGTGTTGTGATCAATTTTAATTTTCGAAGCCCAAACATAAATAATGGAAACAAACTTATTAACCTCGTCTAAAAAAGGCAATTACAAAACTCGTCGGAAAGAAAAAAGGAAATAACTAAACTTGTCGAAAAAAGGAAACAATCGAAATTTCCTTTTTTTTTTTTTTTTTAATTTGAAGAACCTTTGCTTTATAAATACATACCTGAACCCTAGTGTCCAACATCACTCATTCTCTCTTCTTCCTTAAGAAATCAAAATTCTCTCTTTCTCTCTTTTTCTTTTTCGACACCAAAAACAAAAGAAAACTTCCATCTTTCATTCTCTCGTCTGCATAATATTATGCAGTTTTCTTCTCTAACAAAGCTCTGTGAATCCCTTACAGAGGTGGCTCCACGACGATGATCTCTGCAACAAACAACTATCAGCAATCTCGTTTCATGATTGATCTATATCCTCTGTTGTGAATACATCATCTTCCGTCAAATCCATATCGATTTCAGGTCCTGTTTCCCCTAATTTCACACCGATGGATTCTGTCAACATCGGCCAAGGAGGGCACCAAGACGGCGGCGAAGGATGCGAGAGCGGGAAAGAGGTTAATGAAAAGAGGGGCACGAGCCAATAGGCAATAGCAGCGTTGGTGTTTCCATGGCTCATGGCTGGGACAAACGTCACCGGAGGATGATAGCTTAATCTCTCTGTTTCAACGATATCACGAGCAACAGGTACATATCTTAATTTCCTTCTTTTTAATTTTAGGTTTTTAATTATTGCTTTTGTACCCAAAAAACTGTTTTTTAATTTTTCTAAAAAAACATTTAGATTTAAAACTAAATTTAAAATTTTTCAAATAAGAATTTTAATTTAACTAAATTTTTTTAATTAACAAAATGTTTTCAAAATTTAAGTGTTAAATTTACAATCCGTCAGAAACTAACCAAACTTAGCATCCCGTCCTTTTGGTCCGTAAGTCTTGTGGTGTATAAGTTCAACATGTTTTCCGACATATTATAAATTTAACACTTATTAAGTTCTTAAGGTTTTTTTACAAATAATGTTTTAAATAAAATGTATTTATTTTTAGCTAAATTGTTTTAAGCATCTCGTCATTTTGGTCCATAAGTCTTTTATAAGTTCAACACATGTTCCATATATTGTAAATTTAACACATATTTAAGCTTTATAGGTTTTTTACAAATAATGTTTTAAGTAAAATGTTTCTATTCTTAACTAAATTTTTAATTAACAATATATTTTTAACTACTTAAATTATAGTTGTTTAAAATATGGCTATTATATTCCAGATTTCTTTTTAACAGCTTCTAGATTTTATTTTTATTTTATAACTTTTGGTATAATTATTTATTTTGGATATAAATAATAATCAAATAAGTTTATTCACATCAGATCTAAAATAAACTTATATATATGGCTTATTTGGTTTATTGATACATCTTTCTAATTAACTCATATATATCCTTTACAAAAAATAAAACTCAGATTTTTGACAAATAAATAAATTGTTCCAATATTTTATTTCTATTCAATTTTTACATCTACAGTAATTATTATTTTATGAGGGGTGATTTAGTTATCTATTTTGAATGATTTGAGTTTTTGTAAGTTATAGATGATTTTGGGTAAACATAGTAAAATTGATATCTTATGAATTTTGCTAATAACCTAGAACACTTTAAAATCATTAAAAATCTTGAAAAACAGTGGATTTGAAAATACTTGTTAAATTCATTAGTTCAATAACATTGGATTTTAGCAATTATTATAACAAATAACACTAGATTTTTATTTAAAAAATAATCTATGATTGGATAACATATGAATTTTCATCCAATACAAATTATTTTATTTCTTGCCAAAAAAATGGTATATTAAAATTGTTACTTCTTGTTTAGTTTACTTCACCTATTGTTGTTATTATTTTCGTAGTTTACTAACGTAAGCTATAAATTTCTGATAGAAAAATCCATCTATATATATTCTTATGGGGGTGTAAAGTCGTCCGTAAAAGATAACATAATGCAACTAGCTAGATCAACTTCCGTGGGAATTAGAGGAAAGAATACTCACTTTGATTCCAACAACTCGCTCGATTCAGATCCGTTTGCAAACGATGGAACACTCTTTTAAACGAGAAAAGGTTTATCAATAATCATTTGGCTCGTGCCCGTCCACAATTCATCTTGATTGCAACTCCAAGATTTGCTCGGTAGACGTTAATCTTGACGTTCCATCCATAGAGGTGCATAACTTACCCTTATATATTCCCGGTTATACTGATGGAATGTTCATGACAGTCGAATATTGCGACGGATTATTGGTTTATGCTAATATGAACGGGATCGGGATATGCAACCCATGGTTGAGACATATTAGATAGATTATGATCGCTGGAGGCGACTACATCGAAGCTGTCGAGGGGACCTACACTGAAAGCCATATCACCTCCATCACATTTCGGATGTACAAGGGCGGCATGATGCCACAGTACGGACGCTTGAACGGGATGCCCTTCTCGCTTCGAGGAGAACGAGGCGAGAAGGTCATCGGGTTTTACGGAAGAAGCTCTGATGTCCACCTCACTGCTCTCGGCGTCCACTTCTCTGCCCCCCCTCTAGCTTTTTCATTTCGTAATAAGTCACCAATATTTAAGTACTAATCATGCGTCCATGATTGATTGATTGCCTTAAAATAAAAAGTAATAATTCTTTTTAATTTTTTGGATATGATCGTTTTTTGTTGAACATGCATGCGTCCGTGATTGATCGTTTCATGATATGATACACTATCTTGTGCAATTTTTACTATATATATTATCTTCCAAAAAAGTTTTTGCATTTAAAATCGTCGAACTCGCAACCGGACCTCATGACCTCAAAAAATAAGTTGTGGTTATTTTATCGTGACAAATCTTACTTTTGATTTCTTCTAGAAATTAAACAAAATTAGTTTTTAAAAAGTCGAGTATTTAAATGTAGTGAACTAGAATATTTATTTTATGACAAGAAAATGAATTGTAGCTTTTATTTAATAGCTATCACTTCTCCAGATATAATAGAGTACTGCCGATATTTTCTTATGCAGGAGCGTCAAAGATAAAAGCCAAAACATGTTTTGAAGAATACAAGCCCACCGGAGATGAAACGACTGATTTCCTTCTTTGTAGGGTTCCGGTTTACCCGTCACTGTGTTATAAAAAGTATCTAGAGACTACAGAAGGCGCAAATTAAGGGCGGAAAATGTATTTTCGAGATAGACACTGATAAAAGTAAATGCTTTTGCAACTATTGCTCCGACGATCCCAATCCACTCTACTTAACCAAACCAACCAGTGCTTAATACTCAGCAAACCATGCAGCTATTCCATATGCAACCGCAGAATCCAATGTTTTCAAACTTCTGATCTCTCCTTTAATATGTATGTTTCCGAGTTCATGTTGCCAGATTAGTAAATAAAAAGAATATATTAAATAATAAATATGATAATGTCAAACGTGTCATCGTTTGTAATGATATAGTTTTAGTATTTAGAGTCTTGTGTCAATATACAAGCCTACAAGGGTCAATCTATATATTCTAATCAATGTCCGACAATATTTACGGACAATTTGTTAATCTTTAGCATGCAAGAGATTTTAATAAGTAAAACTAGATTTTAACCCGCGGTACACCGCAGGGCTATATTTTCTTAAAAAAATCAAAATGTAATTTGTTTGATAGATTATTTTGATTGTTAATTTTAGGATTTCACCCGTGGTATACTATCTTTTATAAATATCAACCCAAACCCGTCCCATCATATTACCCGTCCCGTGAAATTAAACATCATTTAGTTATTTTTCTTTTTAATAATACTTTTATTTAAAAGCTATATAATTCAAGTCAATTTAAAAATTTCTTTTAAATGGTTCCCATAAGATATATATACATATATATTAAATTTGTATAGAGTTGAAATAATATTAATATTACAAACTTTTTATATAATTTAAATATTATAAATATTTTTTAAAAATATGCAATATATATTTTTTGTTATTGAATAAGAGGATATTATGTGTAAGAAATGTAGAAAATAAGAGTTTAATATTTTTATTATGGAGTCGCAAGAAAAATATTTTATTTCTATACATGTTATTCGTTTATTAATAATAAAAGAAAACAAATCCTTTAAATTAGATATTAACTAAAATAAACGCACCATAATTACTTATTAAGTAACAACCAATAAATTTCACCAAAAAATAGGTAACAACCAATAAATTCTAAACGCAGTAATTAAAGAATGAGATATTAAAAAAAAATATCAAATAAGATATAAGAATCTTAAAATAATTGAATATCTAAATAATTTAATTGTTAGTGTCGATTTTAATGCCTTCATTAATGTGGATTTTTTTTTTTACAGAAAAATATTTCCTAAAGATTATCACATTAATGACTCAGAAAATTAAGGAAGATATGAATTTATGATTCTCGAAATCGTGTTGGTAATATCTTTAATTAATATTTTTCAAATTTAAATAATTAATGCCAATGGCATTTATCCGTAAATACATTCCAACTCCAGGATTTATTTGCTAAAAGTCATCCAAAAATGTATATATAGATATACAAGGAATAACTCGGAGAAAACAGAAATTTATAGGGACTTTTATGTAATAAGTAAAAACTATAAGGCAAACATGTAAATAAACTAAACTACAAGGGATAAATGTAAAAACTTAAAAAGCTAAAAAACAAACCTTTCTCTCTCGCTTCGCTTCTTAACACTCTTCTCGCCGCCATTCCCCTCTCTCCTCCGGAGCCGGTGAAAAATTCGTCTTTTCTATCTCCTTTCAAGGTAATCCAGCTTCTCGATTTCTCCAGATGCTCATATAGTTTGTTTTATGCTAGTCGAATCGATTTATTTTCAAGGAATTAAGAGTGTTTAGGGTTTGAATTCCCGTGTTTGTAGATGGCGAGCAATATTATCATGTTCGAGGATATATTCGTGGTCGATAAGCTAGACCCTGATGGCAAAAAGTTCGATAAAGGTATCTACTTTCTTTTAACCTTATTGTAATGCTTGTCATGGCTTAAATCGAGTTTCTGATATGAATCGTAGTTTCTTCGCTTTGTTTTGAGTCTTAGAGATATTGAAATCGAAGTTAATGTGTAATATCTGAACTTTATATGAGTTTTGAAGTCTCCCCCTAAGTTTTGTTGTGACTTGTGTCTTCAAATTGATTGAGTCTGTGTGTGTTTGTGGTAACAGTTACGCGTGTTGAAGCAAGGAGCCACAACTTGGAAATGTTTATGCATTTAGATGTTAACACTGAGGTTTATCCATTGGCTGTTGGTGATAAGTTTACGCTGGCTATGGCTCCCACACTTAATCTCGATGGAACTCCTGATACCGGATACTTTACTCCGGTACTGCTTTTTCTATGTTTGATCTTTTTTACATTACTCTTGTTTGCTTGGCCAAATCTCATGCATGGTTAAGTTAAGTTAGGTCAGGTAACCTATGGATTCTGTTACTACTACTCGGAACTTGTCTTAGGATTTGGTTGGGGCATAACCATTAAGTGCTAATTGCTCGATATTACTAATTCCATTGGCTTGATTCAGGAGATAGGAATAAGACTAAACATATGAAAACTTGAGCAAGACTTAGTGTCTTCAATCTTGAATACTATCTTTGAAAACCTAGAATGTTTGGTTGATAATCTGAACATTTATCTGATTTAGTGTCCATCTCGCTCTATTACAGGAACCTATATTAGGATTTGATCTAATTGCTTAATAGAACAATTGCATTTGCTTGATTCAGGAAGCCTATCTAGGAATAAGAATAAACATATGGTATTTGATTAAGACCTACTGTCTTGACTCTTGAATCATGAAACAAAGATTGTTGTTAGCTAATCTGATCTAGTTTTTATCTCGCTCTGTTACAGGGAGCAAAGAAAACACTTGCAGATAAGTATGAATACATCATGCACGGGAAGCTTTACAAGATCTCTGAGCGTGACGGCAAAACTCCAAAAGCGTAAGAATCCCATATATCTAGACCAACAAAATCAATCTTTCCCCAAAGAGATCCAATTTATCTTACAGATCATCTAACCATCATGTTTCGGTTTGTATCTTGAAATTATGTGTTTCCAGAGAGTTATATGTTTCGTTCGGCGGCCTCCTGATGTTGCTTCAGGGAGATCCAGCTCACATCTCTCACTTCGAACTTGACCAGAGGCTCTTTCTACTCATGAGGAAGCTTTGAGATGCCATTGTCTGATCACTTTCCGAGGATTTTCCCATAAAAACCGAATTAACAGAGCTCTCTTATAAAGCTTTTATCTTATGTTGAACTTTGCTATTATAACTTATGCTATTTTCATGAAGTAACTCTTGTACATCCAAGATTTAAATCGAATTATGTTTGTAGCTCAGAGCTGTCCAGTCGAGGCCAATAACATAAAAAAAAAAAAAAAAAAAAACAGAGATCAAATTTTTGTTTCTTTTCTAACCAACTCTCACATGTATGCAACATTCTCTCTTTTAACAGTAACACAAGCCAGTAAAACAAAAACAAAAAAGTCAGTTTCTGACATAGCAGAAATCTTTCATCAAGTGAATCTTTCTCCCAACGCAGGCGAAGTATTATCACTGTTTGTCTCCAAACCACGATAATTACGACTGGGGTCCTGATTTTGCAGCGGTTTGGTTAGTGAGCTAGTTTTTTTTTTTTTTTTTTCGGTTAGTGAGCTAGTTATGATCATTCTAAATCACTGAATCGTACTTTTTAAAATTTGGGTAATAGAATTTATTATGCAGTGTTTTATAATATAATCTAGTTAAATGTTTTAAATTGAACTAATGAAAAACACAAACTAGAGTAACTAATATGTCTACCTTGTTCTAAATTACCAATCTAAACTGTTTTGATGCAAAAGTTTTATAGTGATTAGTGATTACACATCTATTAATATGTTCTGAATTTTAAAATAATTAAGAAAAAACAAATTGATCAAAGTAACCAAAAATTAAGCAAAAAATGAGCAAAACATTACAATACTTTTTAAAACTGACAAAACAAATTCACAGATCTAACGTTGAGATTCTAAACAAATAGAAACAAGACCATAGTTTTAAGTCTTTGGCTGCTCGAGATAAATTTTCACATTAAACTGATAATTAATTTGCTGAGAATTAATTATTCTTTTTTCCTAACCTCTATGGAGTCCTATTGACTTATTTATATTCATCAAATTTTCAAGATGTCCTCAATTCTTAAATTATTGTAAATAAGTGTAATAAAATAGCAAGAAAACACAAAATATTATAGGTTTTGCTATTAATTCATTTTTAGTTGGTTTTTTTTTTCTTTTACCATATTTCATGGGCTTTACGCTTTAATTAAGCAGTTGTTAATGAATTTTTTAGTAAACTTTTGGTTTAGAAAAAACAAAACCTAAACTAAAACAATTTTTTTTCTTTTTATTCTTGTATGAATTTAAAAATATATTCACAAAAAAGACTTTGTACAAAATTTTCTCTTTGATTGATTTCATTGTTATTTACTCTTCTATTTGCTTGCTAAGGTAGGTGACTTTAATTACAAAATTGAAAACTTTACTTTGAAGAATAGAATTGAAAGAAAAAAGTCAATTTTACTAAAATTTCTTTTCTTACAAACTGTTTATGAATTTAAAAACTGTTTTATCCAATTATAGTATCAGCTTTTTTTATATTACTATATTATTTGTAATTTTGCAACAAAAAAAAAATATAAAGAGTACTGTTTTTTATTTGCTTAGGACATTCAAAAATACTAGACCGGCTCTGCTTTCACCCGCCGAGAAAAAAAATCAAATATTTAAGTAAGCCATTGATGAGGCTTCTAGTAGGCAGGGAACTGTACTACATCATTTTTCCTTCAAATATTTGATGAGAATTATTTTCTCATTGATATGATTGGATATGGTAAATTGAAAAATCTAGGATTCAAGCTCTATCATGTGGAAAAAATAGGTGATTATTGTATATGTTGTATCCAAATACCTGCCGGTAACAGTTTTGTTTCTAACATTGTTATCTCAACTTTTATGTTCTTATTTATTTCTCAACTCCTGTTGTGTTATATTTTTCTTAGTTCTATATCAAAGAAACACAAATGTAGGGGACAAATTAGTCATCCAATCAATGTGTATATATGCACTTGATGTTGGCAAGCCAGCTTAGCCAGCAAACATCATTGCCATAACAAGCGATGCCGATTTTGCAACTCCAATTGTTACCTTGAAGTCAAGAGGCTTTTGCCACCCCAGAAGAAAAATTCTAGTAATCCGACACTTCTTGAAAGTGGAAATGTGTATTGGTTCTTGTCTGATCTTTGAAGAACATAAAAGTTAATAGTAATTATTTAATTTAATATAATGTTTAATTCTATTAATTTAATTAAAAAACTCCAATAATACATATTAAGCTTTAAATTTTTTTTAAAAAATGGTATATATTTTCGTTTTTAAAAGAATTAAATATTTTTTAAAAAAATAGAATACCTTTTAATTATATACACTCTTCATTTTAATTATTTTAACAATTATCTAGTTTTTCAATCTGATTTTTTTTTTTAATGATTTGTAACATTTAACAACTTACTAAGAGAGAGAGAGAGGGGATCTAATGGACGGAGAGAGAGGGGATCTAATGGACGGCTGAAAATTAAGGAATCAACAACTCTCACATGTGTGTGCAAACATTCTCTCTTCTAACAATCTCATACGAAGCCAGTAAAACAGTTTCTGACCTAGCACAAATCTATCTTTGTGATCAAACTGAACTTCTTGGAGTTTGCTATTCGTGCTTGTATCCAGACGCCTTCCCGCTTCTCCCAACTATGTAAGGCTCTGGCGAAGTATTCTCACTATTTATCTCCAACCCGCGATAAGCTCGCCTGAGGAAATACTCAGGTCCTGATTTTGCAGCGGTTTGTTTAGTCAGTGAGTTATGATCATTGCCTCTCAACTGCAATGCTTTCTCTGCAGCTTGTACCAATGCCATTGTCTCTCCTGTGTCTTCTTCTCCATTCTTAGCTTGATCTGCATCAAGTACCACACTGTTTGTCAAACTCATGGAATCAACAAAAAAGGCTTTTCTTGACTGAACAATGTATCCCGCTTTCTATGATACCGTTTGTTTTGTGATCTTCTACGTAACCACCCTGAAAGAAGGAGAACCGTGGCTCTTCTGATCCGCTATGTGCTTCTGATTCTGATTTTACAGAGTTGATCACATCTTGGAAATGCATTAGGTATGCACCTGTCCATTCACTCCCTCTGTGGAAACAGAAACACCAAAGACACCAACTCAGGAACTCGTGGATCGAATACAAATACTATAACGATTTTTGCATTATAATAATTTCTCTATGTACCTGCTAAAAGCAAGATTGGCTTCGAATGGAGTAATGACAGGGGACATGAACTCTTTGCTATCTAAAAGAGCAGTTTGGGCACAAGAGATGTAGATGAAAACATCGCACTAAGCAAAAAAACATAAGACATGAAAAGGTATTACTCATTTGACATATCTTACTTTGATAATCAAAGCTCAAGGACAAGCCGTTGTTAACTTACCTCGGGGAAGTTTGCGAGTTTGGCCGGATTAGGCCGTCCCATGGCAAGAATGTAAGATTTTTTGCCAGCTGCAGATATGAGTGCTTGCATATGGTGAATCATATGAAGGTAACCAGCTGCATATATTGCCAGGTGACATTAGACATTTAATGAACTTATCAATCTTGACATCACAAATGCAAAAGAATAGGAACTTACCAACACCAAGAGTCCCCACCAAAATACCTATAATATTTGCATCCTTAGCTTTTTCCACCAAGTAATATCTGCAACACATAACTCTGAATGAGGACTTGAAATGTAAATCCACAGAGATAATAAAGAAGATCGAAAGGATTGACAAAGTTTCATATTGTGATGTACAATGTCTGCATGAAACAAGTGATTATACCGTCGCTTAAGTATCCTTCTTTGCTGATAAAATTCCATCACCAAAGAATCTTCTTCAGCATCATATCTGACTAAGATCAACAAACAAACATAAACAAGAAGATAAGCTATTCATGTCTATGTCGATCCATTGGATATTTGTTTAAGAAAAATGGACAGTAGCAAGTTACTCAAAAACGATTGACATAACCAAGAACTAGATCAAGAAATATCCATGGATAAAGCCATATACCTATGTCACAACCATTGAAGGTCAGTACTACATTGGCAAAAGCTGAACTGTCAGAACCTATCCAGAAAAGTAAATAGTCCTCGATTTTGCTTCCTTCTGGCAAGTCCCAAGTTAGCCCTCCTAGTCTATAACTCCTAGATGAGGATAAGCTATCACTAGAATCACTTTCGCTATATGATCTCGGATGCTCCATGGATTATCTAGGATCTTTGGATGGACTAATGAATGAACACAAGACATTGGCTACAGATAACTTCAACTGAGACTCAGTCTTCGATAATCCTATTTCTTCTTGGATATGGGGAATCACATGCGTGTATTGTAGACCATAAAGAATCTGAAAACAAAGCAAAGATTGAGAAAACAGAACATGTTTATCAATATGTACTTCATAAAGATAAACTAGCCTCATATACATAATAGGCTCCAAATGCTTAACGCAGCTGGAGACGTTTATCGAAGCTTTTCCGAAAACGAAGAATGCTGGAAGAACCGATGTCCTGCGAAAACATAAAACCTCACAACAAGACATTGTTTCAACAAGGGAATTTACAGCAATTACATAAATCAAGAAAAGGGTTTACGACTCACGGGCTTAGACATGTTTGACCGTAATGAACAACACATTCAGCATCAATATGCAAAGCTCCAACTTCATCAATGCAGCAACTACCATAAGTTGTGTCAGCCATTACAAAGAACCTGACTTCTCTGTCAGTAAGCAAACGAGTTTTGCTCTTAAGAGCACTCACGACCTTAGTCGAATCCTTTAACAACTCATCCGGGAACTATCACAGAAACAAGACAAAGAAAAAACTAAGCTTTATCATCTCCATATTCATTAAATTAACAATTTTAGCTAAGAAACAAAATCAAACTTCTCCATTCAGAAACTGGAGTCACGGAGAAAAGTTTTGGTACCTGTAAAGCAATTCTGGTGAAGCTTTTGCTGATAATGAACTCCGCTGTACAATTAATCTCAAACTTTGATTCAAATTCCAACTCCATAGATTAATCACCGGAAATTGTCAACCTTTCCGGCCGAATAACTAAAATCGTATTTCGACTTGGATAAATTGCGGCTGGAGACGAAACAAACCAGATGATCGATGAAACGGTGCCGTTTCGGTTGAGCCTTATGGGGACTATCAAAAATTCAAACACACCGGCGAATCACTGGTTTCCTTATTTACCAAACCCGGTTTAAGCATATTTATCGGTTAAGGTAAAGCGACATCGTTTTATCCCTCGGGGAACGAAATCTATATATACATTTTTGATTACTTTTGAATATGTTTAAATTTATAGCAGATAAATTTTTGGTTACTTATGAAATATAATTAAATACTAGTATATATAATCTGTTTTCGTAACAATGTCAATTAAATTAATTTAGCCAACTCGAATTCAAAATTTAATAGAGTGAATTTGAATAAGTAAATTATTAAAAGATCGACTCAAGAGCTAAAGGGTCGTGAGAGACAACAAGGGCAAAAGGGTAATTTTCTTTTCTGAGAATCTTCTTCGCTACTCACCTCTTTTAGTACGAGTTTTTTTTTGTTTGTTACAGAGAGTGAGAGCGAGACTGTTATCGGTGAGGAGAGAGAGAGCTTGAGGCAGTTGTTGGGAGAGGAGCGCTCTGTTCATCGCAAGGTTTCGCGAATTTCCGGTGAGTCTCTGGCCAAAATATAGGTTAACTGGACTCACAGAGACTCTGTTATCGGTGAGAGAAAGCTTGAGGCAGTTGTTGAGAAAGGAATGCTCTGTCCATCGCAAGGTTTCGCGATTTTCCGGTGAGTCTCCGGCCAAAATATAGGTTAACTGGACAAATTTCTGTGTTCTTTCTTCGCTGCTTAATTCAATCGGTTAGATTTCTTAGGATTTGCGATTTGAAGCTGGATTGAGGTCGATTTCTTCACACGATACATTAGAATCAGGTTACTTAGAAACTAAACTGTTGTTCACTCGCGAAACTCGGTTCACACCATAGAGAATCGATCGATTAGACTCGTAGATTGACTCGGTAGAAGTAGAGTTTATCATAGAATCGATTTTAGAACTCGGTAACCTCTTAAAACCTAATAACCTTACATATTTATGTGCATCTCCATTTCTTACTTCATTCTCAGATACTGAATCTTGTTTTTTTTTTTGTTTTTTTTTTTTGCAGATAATGGAACAACCCTATCTTGCTCCTCGTCGGGCAGACTTGCAATGTCACCTTTGGGATTGCCATAGGTGCCTCCTTCCTTATTGCATGGGGATCCATAAAACGGTTGCAGTGTCTAGTGAAGCCGACACGAGGGCAGCTGTAATAGTAGACGGTATTACTGATCACGCACAACTTGTGGCATCGGAAAATGTCTCAGAGGCACACTGCTGAACTTTCCATGTGGAGCACCTATACTTCCGGTTCATGTTTTGTTCATCCATCCGTGGCAGCAAGGAGAGGTCTTCGACCTTGCAGTTGGTCCAAATGAAAGAGAGCGGCTGTTTCTTTTTGCATCTGAACCCGAACCTCCTCAGCATATACAATCCATTTAGAGGCATATACAGACTAGGTGGGCTGCAGCGAATGTAAGAATGAGAAGTTGGTACTTAAGGTTCCCGATAGTTCAGAACGGTTTTTTTAGGCTAACTCAATTCTCTATAATGGGACATGGACGAGCTATATACTGGCTGTTGTTTAGGCCGTATATTCCAGAGATCATAATCCAGGAGCCCGGGACTGTGGAGATGCCAGACAACATTCCAGATCCTCGGCCTTCTAATCAACCATCACCAGATAGCCCAACGGATTCTCAACCATCTGGTTTGTCTGAGGTTGGAGATTGTTCTGCGTCCGAATCTCCCTTTCCTGTTGCTGGCATCAGCATTACGTTCATGCTCAACCAGATGCTTGACCTTGATGCAGGTACAACCAGTTTAAACATCTTCCATGATTGCATAGTTATTACTCTATAAGCCTACGGCTCTATGCTCTTACATGCATTGAGCGGCTATCTTGTGACAATTACTTTCGAGCTTATGACAGTATCCTATATATATACTAACAATAAATTCCGTCCTTCAATTTTACAGGGATACCACGACGTATTGTTTTGGACAATCTTCTGAGGCTCCTTTCCGGTAGTTCTCAGGCAATGCTGCAACCATTATAGATTACTAAGCTTGTGTGCCTACATTTGACCTTTGACTTGTGTTGTTAGCAGTGGAAGAATCTGCATCTGACATTCGTCATTGCACTGCCTTCAAGCTAATCGATCAGCAGTGGCTCTCCATGCGCGCTTCAGTTGCCTTCAACCGGAAGTATTTCAACTTGCTGTACTTTGCTTGGAATTCAAAGGTAAGCATTTACAAACGCTTAACAAAACTGTCCCATATGATATTTATATCAGGAAATGCCATTGAATGTTTCTTAATGCAAATTTTCCTGTGCCTTTTGTTTGTTTCCTGCAGAAATCCTTCCACGACCTTCAGTGGAAACAGGCTAGCGACTGTTCTGTGTCTGAATACCGCAGCTTCGTAAGGTTCCCTTCGGGTAATTCTCAGACAACGCTGATCAAAATTCATTACTCTTTCTCTTGTCAGTAGTTAAGGTTACAATGCATTTTATTCTTGTTCGAATTGTGTTGTTGTTTGCAGTGAACGGATCTGCATTTGACCTTTGTAATTGCATTGCTTTCAAGCTAATGGGTCAGCAATGGCTCTCCAGGGGCGCTTCATACATGGAATTTAACGTAAGTATTATTTTAGCATCCTATTCACATGTTTGACTTGGAGTTCGACTTGTTTCTTAATGACATTGAATGTTTCTGAATGCAAATATTCCCGTGCCACTTGTTTGTTTCCTGCAGAAATCTTTCCAGGACCTTCAGTGGAAACAGGCTGCCGATTGTTCTGCGTCTGAATACCGCAACTTCGTTGCCGGGATCAATATTACTACGGTCATGCTCATCGAGAGGCTTGAACTTGAAGCAGGTACAACCACGTTTGTTATTCTCCATGATTGGATAGTTATTCTTCACTCCCGATTTTGATCTTCTAATTGGCCATGGATTTAGTTTTAAACACTTTCCATGATTGCATAGTTATTACTTTGTAAGCCTACGGCTCTATGCTCTTACATGCATTCAGCTATCTTGTGACAATTACTTTCGAGCTTATGACAGTATCCAATATGTATAAACTAGCAATAAATTCCGCCCTTCAATTTTACAGGGATACCACGACGTATTGTTTTGGACAATCTTCTGAGGCTCCTTTCCGGTAGTTCTCAGGCAATGCTGCAACCATTATAGATTACTAAGCTTGTGTGCCTACATTTGACCTTTGACTTGTGTTGTTAGCAGTGGAAGAATCTGCATCTGACATTCGTCATTGCACTGCCTGCAAGCTAATCGATCAGCAGTGGCTCTCCATGCGCGCTTCAGTTGCCTTCAACCGGATGTATATCAACTTGTTGTACTTTGCTTGGAATTCAAAGGTAAGCATTTACAAACGCTTAACAAAACTGTCCCATATGATATTTATATCAGGAAATGACATTGAATGTTTCTTAATGCAATTTTTCCCGTGCCTTTTGTTTGTTTCCTGCAGAAATCCTTCCAGGACCTTCAGTGGAAACAGGCTAGCGACTGTTCTGTGTCTGAATACCGCAGCTTCGTAAGGTCCCTTCGGGTAATTCTCAGACAACGCTGATCAAAATTCATGACTCTTTTCTCTTGTCAGTAGTTAAGGTTACAATGCATTTTATTCTTGTTCGAATTGTGTTGTTGTTCACAGTGAACGGATCTGCATTTGACCTTTGTAATTGCATTGCTTTCAAGCTAATGGGTCAGCAATGGCTCTCCAGGGGCGCTTCATACATTGAATTTAACGTAAGTATTATTTTAGCATATTCACATGTTTGACTAGGAGTTGGACTTGTTTCTTACTGACATTGAATGTTTCTGAATGCAAATATTCCCGTGCCACTTGTTTGTTTCCTGCAGAAATCTTTCCAGGACCTTCAGTGGAAACAGGCTGCCGATTGTTCTGCGTCTGAATACCGCAACTTTGTTGCCGGGATCAATATTACTACTGTCATGCTCATCGAGAGGCTTGAACTTGAAGCAGGTACAACCACGTTTGTTATTCTCCATGATTGGATATATAATCTTCACTCCTAGTATTGATCTTCTAATTGGCCATGGCTTTACTTTTAAACATTTTCCATGATTGCATAGTTATTACTTTGTAAGCCTACAGCTCTATGCTCTTACATGCATTCAGCTCTGTTGTGACAATTACTTTCGAGCTTATGACAGTATCCAATATGTATATACTAGCAATAAAAACCATCGTTCAATTTTACAGGGATACCACGACGTACTGTTTTGGAAAATCTTCTGAGACTCCTATCCGGTAGTTCTCAGACAATGCTGCAACCATTATAGATTACTAAGCGTGTATGTCTACGTTCGATTTTTGACTTGTGTTGTTAACAGTGGAAGAATCTACATCTGACTTCCGTCATTGCACTGCCTGCAAGCTAATCGATCAGCAGTGGCTCTCCATGCGCGCTTCAGTTGCCTTCAACCGGATGTATATCAACTTGTTGTACTTTGCTTGGAATTCAAAGGTAAGCATTTACAAACGCTTAACAAAACTGTCCCATATGATATTTATATCAGGAAATGACATCGAATGTTTCTTAATGCAAATTTTCCCATGCCACTTGTTTGTTTCCTGCAGAAATCTTTCCAGGACCTTCAGTGGAAACAAGCTGGCGATTGTTCGTTAGGTGTTGGAATACCGCAACTTCATACATGGAATCTAACGTAAGTATTATTCTGCAACATGTTTTACTTGCTTCTTCCTCAACTTATCATATTGGCTCAAACATTTGCTGAATAGGTGCCTGATACTAGTGTGGCTTGCTAACATAAGACCACTGACCTGAAATATCAAATACACCACCAAGATAAGAGTCTTCGTTGAATAAGATACAGTTATATAAGATTACCCTATGTTGAGAGTAAGATATGCGAAAAATTATGATGCAAGTCCATGGTCAAGCCAAAAGCAATAACTAATTTGCATACACAATTAGGTTAGAACCTGTATGCTTGCAGGTCCCCACTCAATAAAATTAACAAGCTTTCTTTCTCGTATCCTCTGCAAACTTTCATGCACCTAGTATCAAGTAGTGAAACAGCAGAGTAGATTACATCAACAAGAAAGAATTAACCATTCCATCCTCAATGTTTGAAACAAATAAATTTATTTATATTTTTTATTTCAATCCGAAATTTAGTACCCAAAAGCATAAGTAAGAAGTGGGATAAACTAATAAAAACTTGGAAATTATAGTACTTGTTGGATTTGCAAGTTAAAACTCCATTGGTCATTGTATTTATAATGTTAGTGATCTTCTAAAAATAGTTTGTTGTATTAATTTTAATTTTAAATTTATTGGAATTTTTTTTGTATTGGTACTAGGATTTAATCCGCGGTACACCGCGGGGCAAAATATTATTTTATGTATTTCATATAATAATTTATAATTTATTGGACTTTTAAATTGATGTTATAAAAAAAATTCTCATTTAATTATTGTATATTATAAATAATATAGTTGAAATATGGTTAAGCTTTTGCTGATAATGAACTCCGCCGTACGGTTAATCTCATACTGTGATTCAAATTCCAACTCCATAGATTAATCACCGGAAATTGTCAACCTTTCTGGCCGAATAACTAAAATCGTATTCGTCGACTTGGATTTGCGGTTGAAGAAAAACAAACCAGACGAAGTAGAATGATGAGTGATGAAACGGTGCCGTTTCTGTTGAGCCTTATAAGACATTGTTTCAACCGTGTCCACTATATCCTTTTTCTCTCTCACTCCACCATTTCCTTAATTTTTTTCTGTTTCCTTCTTCTTCTTTTTTTCCTCAAACACCATTTGTAATAAGTTATCGGAAAGAGACTCTCCGCTAAGGAGAGCCAATCAGGAACCGACAAGCTTACATAGGAAAAAAAATTGTTACGAACCTGAGCTTTTTTGGCTAAACAATCAGTCCGACAATTAAACTCGCGAGGAATAAATCTAATCTTAAAAGACGGGAAAAAACAAATAAGATACCGAAAAGAGGCCAACTCTGCTGCGAATGTAGGCCACTCAGCGAAAAAACAAATAAGAGAGTTTGGAAATCTGATAAGGCGCCATAATTGCTTAGCTAGTAAGGCTTGATTAAATTCTTCAAGCGTTCTAAAGCCAAGACCTCCTTCGATATAAGGAGAGCATAGCTTATCCCATGCTATCCAGTGGATACCATTACTGTTTTCATTGGTTTTCTCCCAAAAGTTCGCAATGACACTACTTAGTTTTGAGCGAATAGCTTTAGGGAGAAGAAAACACGACATAACGTATGTCAGAAGTGCCTGTGCTACAGACTTTATAAGAACTTCTTTGCCGCCTTTGGACAAGAATTTTGCTGACCAAGTGTTTAGTCGTTTCTGGAGTCTGTCTCGCACAAAGGAAAAGACTTGAACTTTAGAGCCGTGAATTTGTTCAGGTAAACCCAAGTAAGATCCCATGCCACCGTCTTTGTGGATCCCTATAGATGACTTAATGGTATTTCGGGTTGCATTATCCACTTCATGGCCAAACATTATCGAAGATTTAGCAGTATTTAACTGTTGTCCCGAAGCCTCGCCGTAAATGCGGAGAATGTTGATGATTTCTTGGCCTTGGGTCGGGTCGGCTTTGCAGAAAAACAAACTATCGTTTGCAAACAAGAGGTGAGATGTGGATGGGCTAGCCCGAGAGATCTGAAGGCCTTGAATACGCCCATTCCATTCGGCATCTTTAAGCTTTACCACCAAGGCTTCCGTGCACAGGATAAACAGGAAAGGAGAGATCGGATCGCCTTGGCGGATTCCTCTGGACAGTCTAATGGAACCTCTGGGTGAGCCATTTAAGAGCACTTTATACGAGACCGAGGAAATGCAGAAGAGTATCATCTCTACCCATTTTATTTAAAACTTAAATAAATAACTAAATTAAATTATATTTTGAGAGAGTCATAAAATCTCTACCTGTTACACATGTTTTAAAATGAGTTATCGACTGTCACGTCATCTATACAACAGAAGAGCTATATTGCATGTGACTTTTTAGATTGTGGTTTGACCTGTATTTATTTGATATGGAGGTTTGTTTAAAAAAAAAAATAACATTGAGGTTTTTTTTTGCACAAAATTCTTATGTATTCAAACAGAGTTATCGCGTGCCACGTCATCGTTATCACGGGAAGTCTGTATTGCGGGTGACTTTTGAGATTGTGAGGTTGATTTGTATAATCCAGATTTAGAGGGTAAATTTACAAACGAAATTGACTTAGAGGGTTGTTTTAAGATAGATGTTATATCTAGAATAAAAAAATGATATGTTTTAATAATTTACAAAAGCCGACAAATTAGATAATTGGAGATCCAACGGCTGAAAAGAGAACATGCCGAAGATCTCTCTCTCATGGGCAGCAATATATAAAGCCACCCCTCCCATAGCCAGTGCCCAACATTAGCCTCTCATCCGCCGATCTAAACCCTAATTTTCTTGTCCATCGAAATCATGTCGGATGAACGCGACGGTAAGATCTCTCTGTCTCTTGCACCTATGTTTCTGATTATAACCTATCTGTATTTTTCTTGCTCGGAATTGTTTCTGATTATAATCAGGCTCTTGTCGATCTATCATACTAAATTATAATCGATCAATCTGTCATAGTAAAATCAATGGTTGGATGGATCTAATTGATTGTATTCATGATCCGATTGTATAGTAAATCAATGGTTTAATGGTTCTAATCGATTGTATTCATGATCCGATTGTATGATGATGCTTTCTCCGTTTTTGTGCAGAAGTGAAAGTGATTACCACATGCGTCTTCTGGGACCTCGAGGATTACCCACTCGGGTATCCTGATATGATTTATCAGAGTATCAAGCCAGCTCTTGAGAATAACGGTTGTCGTGGTGAGGTGTCAATCTCAGCTTATGTTCAGAATGAAACGTTACCGGATGACTTGCTAGATATATTTCGTGAGGCTGGAGTCAAAATCTCATCCGTACCCAAAGGTGACTAAAAAACCCTAGTCTTTTATTCTCTGTTTTTACTTACGTATAGGTCTAGAATCTAATCTAGATCTCCGTTGTTATTAGATTACTCAAAGCATAAAAGAGTTGCTAGGATGTTCTTGGACATTCTTCTATGGGCAGTGGAGAATCCTGATCCAGCAAATCTGATGATCATCTCAAACAACTTCTCAGAACACAAGTTGTTTGTCAAGACTCTTTCTTATTTGAATAAAAGAGGTTACAGTGTTCTCTTAGCAGAGCCTGGTAAGGTCGCATCAGAAGAGGTACGTCTTTGTGTAAGCTCGGTAGATGACTTCGAGCAACGTGAAGTGGAAGAGCATAGCAAAGATTCGTCTGAGCACTAGCTGATGCAGAGTTGCTAATAATGTCTCACTTATATTATGATCCTCTCCTTTTCTGTCAAACGGCTTTATGAATACACAGGCACTGTAACCGGAATCTGAAAGTAATGTAGCAATAGCAAGAAAAAGCAAAATTTGTTCCTGAATAGTTTGGTCTAACAATTGTGTCCGTCTAAAGATTTTGTCTTTCTTCTTGCAGTGGAATCATTGTACAGACATTCTATCTGGAAACTTGTCTGAAATCAATTGGGTAACGTCAATAAACTATTTCGTAACTCCATCACTTGCGTAACCCTAAACGATAAACATTGTTGGGTAGAAATTGACGGGGGTCTTAGTTTGGGTTGGAAAAACCCGTCCCCAAATAGTTGGGGTTGAAAATGGCCGTTTTCCCGCCACGTCAATGCCACAATATCGCTGACTCAGCAGCCGTTAAATCCCGAACTAACACCGTCTTCTGTCATGTTGAAATCGGCTAATTTTCATTAGTTTAGGTTTTGAATTTAAATTAGTTTTGAGTTTGGGTAGAAATTGACGGGGGGTCTTAGTTTGGGTTGGAAAAACCCGCCCCCAAATAGTTGGGGTTGAAAATGGCCATTTTCCCCATGACTAGCATTATGATTTACTTACCCATTTTCCAGATTTCAAGTATCCAAGGGGGACCAAGTTATCCTTGTTGGTCACAGGCGGCTTGGCATAGCAGAGAGATGATAACTCAGTAGAGTAACAGCGTTCATACTTGGTAGAATTTTCAATTAAGAAAGAATTTCAAAGTTCCAAAGCCTTGAAAGTACGTCTTCACATGTGTTCTTTGGTTGATCAAGTCACTTTTTGTTAAGGGAGAAAATTTTCCTTTATACAGGTGAGTGAAGAACCACTTACCGTCAGAGTTGATCATTTGCCTCTTATAATATGAGACTACTGTTTGGTTAACCATTTCTCACTCTTTGTACAGGATAATCCGTTTGACATGGGACGATGATGTCATCAAGGCAACATCTTTTGAAGTTATTTCAACTCTTAGGGTTCTACTAAAGACAAGTTCACTATGGAGAGATCACGTTCAGATATATACCCAGGCATGTTCTCTTTATAACTTTCACCTGTGCTGGTAAAAAGGTCTCAGGGTACAAGTATCTTAGTTGATGTCTTTCAACTTGTGTAGTTGCGATATGTGGTGTAAATAAGCACCAAGCTCAAGAAGTTCTTGAAGAACTGGATGTAAGTAGCTTCATTATTGTTGTAAGTGTATGATTTTCCGTTCTTGGTCAATCTCTCACTCTGTTTTCATTGACCCAGGTTCACAAACGTACGGTTGACACTGGAATTGATGAAAAAAGGAAATGGAAATTAGCAAGATTCAGGTACTTCATTCCCTTATTCTTGTGTCTATCCCACTAAGGGACTACTTATCTGCTAAAGGTTTGAATGAGATCAGATTCTTATCTACTGAGCCTTTTTATAGGTATCCATAGCAAAAGCAATTGAAGAAAGAATTAGCGGTGAGCAACGCCGTCACGTGCTAAATGAGCAGCTCAAGGCTATAAAGAAGGTATTACTCTGCCCGCCTCACAATATATGCTTGCTATTTTCATCCACATACCATGTCCGTGTAGTGTATACATATTTGGTTTGATTCATTTAAGTGATCCAATTCAGGGGCTTGGTGTGGAGACAGATGACAAATCTGCACTTTTTGGTCAGTACTAACTTAAACTATCTTCAATTATATGTAGTCAGTTTATATCCTCGTTAGAAATTTATAATTTCACTGCATCCCTATCTCTCTTTCGACTAATATTGGCTAGTTCTCTCTTTTCTCCAGTCAGCACTCACAGGTGAATCTCTTCCGGTGACCAAAAATCCCGATTCCTCAGTGTACTCTGGTGCAACTTGCAAGCAAGGTGAAATTGAAGCAGTTTTTATAGCTACTGGTGTCCACACTCTCTTCGGTGAAGAGTTTTTTTTCTTCTTCTGATTTCCAGGTTATGACAGCAATATGAAATTTCTGTATCTGCTTGATTGCAGTGGGAATGGCGATTGAAATCATCGTTATATACGGCCTCCAAAAGAAAGATGAAACATTAGTGCAGGCTTGGGGATGTAGAATACGAGGTTGTGTGTGTAGAGATGATATAATGGAAAGATTCATGTTTTATGTGTGATTTAGTTTGCAGATTAATAGAGAGAGAGACAGTTGGAAGAGGAGATGCATAAGAAGTTATGTGCAACCCAGTTCAGAAAACTTGGAGCTGATATGCACACATGACTATGGCTTCTTGGAAAGGTAAAGGTTCAATCTTTTTATAAGACACAAAATAATTTGATTTAATTGGTTATTTGATATGGTTTTGGTGTATGTTTCGTTGATAGGGGGTTAGTAGGGAGTGTGAGCGAGTATTGTGCGAAACGAGTGAAGTGTCCTGTGATTATCGTCAAGAAGCAACCTCAAGATAGTTGAGCTTATCATATCTCTTTTATGATTGTATATGTTTTAAAGCAATTGATGTAAAATTTGAATCAATCTTCGTATGCAATCATAAATACATGACGGGTTTAAATAGTAATAGCACAATATGATGAAAACAAAAAGCTGATTTTTCCGTTGATACTAAAATTAATTAGTTAGGATATAGTGGCTATATACTATCCGAACGACGCCGGTTTTAGCTTTCGTCTTTGTCAAAAAGAACCCTAATTGTTGTTCGTTACATAGAAAAAAAAGCCCATACTTTCTCAATACCTTTTTCTTTCCTATTTCTGTCGGCCTACTACATTTCAACTAAAAGGAAAACCTAGACTTGGGCTGTAGGTCGAAGCTCAAATCCCCCAACAAAAACCACGCCGTCTGTACAAAACGCGAATCTGCGAAAAACTGACTCAGCCAAAAAAACCTAGGTCTGGGAGTTCGGTGAAATCGGGTTATTCGGGTCGGGTTATTTGGTTTTGAGAAAATTCGGTTTTTGAAAAATCCTCCCGAATTGAACCGAAATTAAATTCGGTTCGGGTCAATCGGTACTCGGATTATTCGGTTCGGTTATAAGATTTAAAAATAATTCCGAATTAAACTGATTTTTTTTCTATTTCGGTTTATTTAACCGAATTACAAAAAATATATGAATAATGGGCTAAAAACAAAGCCCAAACCCATTACAATCATTTAAAGCATTAAAAAAAATTACAACCCAATTAAAAGTAACAAATTTACAGCCCAACCCATTAAAAATTAGGGTTTTCAACACATTTGTTGACAGTGACGTAGCAGCGACGGGCGGAGACGAACTCCCAGGCCAAAAAAAACTCTAATCTCTTTTCCGTCAAACAATGTCTCCAGAAAGTAAGTGTTGCGATATTGATCTCTATTCTTGTTGCGATGCAATCGATCGATCGATTTGAACTGATAGTTCTTATTTTTTTTCTTTTCCCCTTTGTCTAGGCACCAACAAGCTCGACAACCCTTATTCTGCTCGTCCTTCCCGTTCGACTAGGAGGCCTCCTAACTCGTTAGAAAGATTTCATGAAGGCATTAATGAGGCTTCAAGTAGGCTGTGAACTGTACTACTTCCAGAGTTTGAGATGAAAGAAACTCACCGAAAGTTTGGGTTTTTTGGTTTCTGGGATATTGGTACGACAAAGTTGCCTGAGGGTTATGCGGTAAACAATTTTAAAAGAAGGATTGGATGATACAGTAAAACTCACGATTCTGATAAACACAATAGATTCTGATAAACACAATTTCAAATCTCCGATTACTTAAATCCAGAATACAAACGATCGATTCGACGTTCATGAAACACCAAATGATCAAAATGCTAGCTCTCGAGAAGAGAGAAACCTAGCCATACAAGTTTACCAAAGAATTCAAAGAAATCACAAATTGTTTGATAATGAAAACGATGAGCTAAACAGTGCTCATATAGTCTCTAACGGCCATCTACGATCTGCCAATCACCACCTGCCACGCGTTGATTCCAGACTCTTCTTATTTTGCCACTTGAATCCGCACGTGCCAACCCACACGTGTAATACTATATCAAATCTCCCCCTCTTCAAACAACCTTGACCTCAAGGTTCTACGCATCAAACTGGGGAAATTTCCTCTGAAGATCAAAAAGAAATTCCCAAGTTGCTTCCTCTATAGGTTCATTACTCCATTTCACAAGCACCTTTGTTGCTGCTCGGCCCTGACGGTTCACCATCTTACGTTCAAGGATTTGCTCAGGAAGCCTCTGCAGAGTATTAAGAACAGAGGGTAACCGAGTCGAAGTAGGAACATTACCAACAAGAACCTTCAATTGAGACACATGGAAGACCGGATGAATCTGAGACTGAGCTGGTAAAGCCAATTTGTACGCCACTTCACCACAGCGATCAATAATCTTGTAAGGACCAAAGTACTTTGGAGAAAGCTTCTGATTAACCCGCAGAACCACCGACTGCTGTCTGTACGGCTGAAGCTTGACATAAACATAGTCACCAATAGCAAAATCACGTTCAGTTCTTTGTTGATCCGCAAACTGCTTCATACGGTGTTGTGCCCTCATCAAATGGAACTTCAAGAACAGAATCATGTCTTCTCTCCCTTGTAGAGAACAAGCTATCACAGCAACTTTAGACTCTCCCGGTAGATATGGCAAATGAATTGGAGGGGCCTGTCCATAAACAATTTCAAATGGTGTCATCCTGCTGGAAGAGTGGTAATTGGTGTTATACCAATACTCTGCCAAAGCAAGCCATTTACTCCACAACTGCGGTCTAGCATGGCACATACACCGGAGATAAGTCTCCAAACATCTGTTAGCATTGATTTCAAAACCAGACTTGAAATCTCTTAGTACTACTCGATGTTTGAACTTCAATCTCCTAAACTTGTAAAACGTTTTCTGTCGTCTCTTTGCCAACCCTTTTCTTCCTAGTAGAATTATATCAAAACCTGTGAATTTCCAGAACTTGAAAACGCCATCAGATTGGAAGGCAACACAATCACTTCCACAATATAATAGGGATTGCTTTTTCTCCAAAATTGCAGATGATAATTCCTCAAGAACATAGACAGATTCACCGTTACAGAGCAAATTCTTCTTTGTCACCATCATCTTGGCTTGAATCAAGTCTTGTTTCAAATTACAACTATGCATCTCTAACTTCACTGCATTTAAGTTCACAGATTCTGGTTCTTCTTTCATCAGTACCTGCGATTGGCAATGGTCTAAGCAATCTTCCACTGCTCCTTTGTTATCTGTATACAACTCGCTGCTCTCCATTATAATCCGATCATACACAGATTGTTCTCCATGACCTGCATCAGTCTTCTTTTTTCTGAATTTGAACATCCAAGATTTGACCCTTTTTGTTTTCTTCTTTGTTCCCATTTTTTCTTTATGTCGAAACGACTTATTGATCTCTGGTGCTTCATGAACTTCTCCAACAACGACTAAGCTCAAAAAATTCTTGATATAGACAATTTCAATTCCACCAAACAACTTTACCTTCCTTGTTGTTCGAGGCCTATCAATCCTACGATCACACAATTTTGGAAAGGAGAACACATGATTGCGCAGCCTCCATAGTCTCTTATTCTCTTGTTTATATTTAAACATCCAAGACTTCAAACCTTTTCTCCTTTTCTTCAATGTCAGTCTGTCTTTAGCCTGAGACCTTTTACCAAACACTTGGTGTGCACAACAATTTTTGGTGTTACTTATCACATTATGACTCTTCTCAACATCACTGTGAACCTCAAATATCTTATGAATGTTCTTTTGAATCCATTCATGCTCCAGATTCTCATTCATCACCACATTGTCAATATTTTCAAACCGTAAATTGGCTTCCCTAAGTTCATTACTCCTCAAAATCTCAGAATTAGCAATTGATACATGTGGAGTTGATTCTTCCTCCAATAATGCTCCATGTACTAAATTGTCTTCTAAGCCAATCGATTCCATTTCAACCTCAATTTCGTCTTCTTCGTTATCCTCCTCAGCTTTCAGTTCACTATCCCTCTTAAGTGGAAGGCTCCCAACGTTATCAATGTTGCTTCGAGGATGTGCATACTCATATAAACTTCCAATTGAGAAACATTGCTGAATCGTTTGAGGCTGAAACATTTGAACATTCACTCGAGTATCTATTTGTAAACCATCCAAATAAACTCTAACTAAGTCATCTTCTCTCAGATTCACTCTTGTGCTAAGCAACTCAAACTTTTTGTGATACTCAACAATACCGTTCATCTCTTTTAACTGCTTTAACTCAGCAATTGGATCATCTAACTCTCTTAAATCTGTTTGATGCTTCAATCATCTCTGAAAGAGTTCTATAAAACTTCTGATTTTGTTCCTTCACCAGCTCCTCCAACCGCGACATACGCGCCGCCATCGGATCTTCCACTTCCTCCTCTTTTCCTTTCGATTCACCATCCTGAGACCTTCTAAGCACCATTTTCCGAGAAACGACGCAGCTCTGATACCTTTGATACAGTAAAACTCACGATTCTGATAAACACAATAGATTCTGATAAACACAATTTCAAATCTCCGATTACTTAAATCCAGAATACAAACGATCGATTCGACGTTCATGAAACACCAAATGATCAAAATGCTAGCTCTCGAGAAGAGAGAAACCTAGCCATACAAGTTTACCAAAGAATTCAAAGAAATCACAAATTGTTTGATAATGAAAACGATGAGCTAAACAGTGCTCATATAGTCTCTAACGGCCATCTACGATTTGCCAATCACCACTTGCCACGCGTTGATGCCAGACTCTTCTTATTTTGCCACTTGAATCCGCACGTGCCAACCCACACGTGTAATACTATATCATTGGAGCTGCCCTTAAAACACGTAATCAAGACTACTTTTGCATTGGTCTACTCGGATATGGAAATTTCAGACTTTTTGACCATCATGAGATTGCTGTTATGAAAAATTATGGATTCAAACTTTGCCATGTGGAAAGAAGAGCTCGTACATGTACCCGTAGGGGTTGTGGTAAAGTCATAGAATCTCATGAACCGGAAGGTAGTAAATCTTTAACAACAGTTTTGAAATATAGTTTGATTTTCTCTCTCTCTCTCTCTCTCTCTCTCTAATATTATTCTCTCTTTTTTTGTTCGTTCTCAGATCAGTATGGTAGTCGTTATAAGGGTAAAATGGATTTAGCTGATGCGTTGGTGGTTCAGTCCATGTTCTTCTATCGCATGGATGTTGGCACGCCAGCTAATATGCTCGTCCTATCGAGTGATCCCGATTTTGCAACTACGGTTGCTACGTTGAAGTCGAGAGGAGTTACAGTCTTTGTTGCAGCAGAACAAGATGCTAACCCTATTCTTCTTCGAAGTGGAGATGCTGGCTGGTACTGGTCTAAATTGATTAATGGAGAGGGCTCTGATTTCTGATCTCTGAAGAAGAGAAATTTGATCGGGTAATAGTTATGCTTTAGTTATTACTTTAGATTTTAGTTAACGTATAGGTTTATTAGGTACTTCTTGAAAGTGTAGGACTGGTTCGTGTCTGGTCTCTTAAGAAGTGTTCAAGAAGTAGAGCTCTTCCTAGATATACATAAATTCAATGCTTTCTCTTAGTTATGGACCTATGGTTATCAAAATGGTTTAAGGTTCCTTTTATATGTGATTTCTGTTTCGGATTTCCTTGATCGTGTTTGAGTTATTTTCATCTTGTTCTTCCGGTTATCATCTGTGTTTTGTGACCGTATTGCTTAGCAGCTCATTAAAATCGCCCATTATAGGCCAAGGACTATTTCTTCTGTTTATTCCAATCCTCTCTAGTCTCTCCGAGAGATGGTTTCTTAATCTTGGATTTGGGTTCCCATATACAGAGGACAAGTAGAAACTTCATTACTTTTTACATAGCAATCTACAAGATTAAAGGAATGGAAATAAAGAGAGACATCTTATGACTGCTTCCATAAATCTACTAAATTAAAATATCAAATACCTCATTTTAATATACGATGAAATAAAAACAGAAAAGTTAAAGAGTAATTTATTTAATTTAATATAATAACAATCTCATAGGAAGCCAGTAAAACAGCTTCTGACATAGCACAAATCTTTCGTTGTAATCAAACTGAACTTCTTGGAGTTACTACTCGTGCTTGTATCCAGACGCCTTCCCGCTTCTCCCAACTGTATAAGGCTCCGGCAAAGTTTTCTCACTATTTATCTCCAAACCGCGATAAGCTCGGCTGAGGAAATACTCGGGGTCCAGATTTCACAGCGGTTTGTTTACTGAGAGTTATGATCATTTCCTTTCAATTGCAATGCTTTCTCTGCGGTTTGTACCAATGCCATTGTCTCTCCTGTGTCTTCTTCTCCATTCTTAGCTTGATCTGCATCAAGTAGCACACTGTTTCTCAAACTCATGGAATCAACAAAAAAGGCTTTTGTTGACTGAACAATGTATCCCAATTCTATGATACCGTTTGTTTTGTGATCTTCTACGTAACCACCCTGAAAGAAGGAGAACCGTGGCTCCTCTTGCCCGCTACGTGCTTCTGATTCCGATTTTACAGAGTTGATCACATCTTGGAAATGCATTAGGTATGCACCTGTCCATTCACTCCCTCTGTGGAACCAGAAACACTAAAGACACCAATTCAGGAACTCGTGGATCGAATACAAAAACTATAACGATTTTCGCATTATAATAATTTCTCTCTGTACCTGCTAAAAGCAAGATTGGCTTCGAATGGAGTAATGACAGGGGACATGAACTCTTTGCTATCTAGAAGAGCAGTTCGGGCACAAGAGAAGTAGATGAAAACATCGCACTAAGAAGAAAAAAACACAAGACATGAAAAGGTATTACTCATTTGACATATCTAAATTTGATAATTACAGCTCAATGACAAGCCGTTGTTAACTTACCTCGGGGAAGTTTGCGAGTTTGGCCGGATTAGGCCGTCCCATGGCAAGAATGTAAGATTTTTTGCCAGCTGCAGATATGAGTGCTTGCATATGGTGAATCATATGAAGGTAACCAGCTGCATATATTGCCAGGTGACATTAGACATTTAATGAACTTATCAATCTTGACATCACAAATGCAAAAGAATAGGAACTTACCAACACCAAGAGTCCCCACCAAAATACCTATAATATTTGCATCCTTAGCTTTTTCCACCAAGTAATATCTGCAACACATAACTCTGAATGAGGACTTGAAATGTAAATCCACAGAGATAATAAAGAAGATCGAAAGGATTGACAAAGTTTCATATTGTGATGTACAATGTCTGCATGAAACAAGTGATTATACCGTCGCTTAAGCATCCTTCTTTGCTGATAAAATTCCATCACCAAAGAATCTTCTTCAGCATCATATCTGACTAAGATCAACAAACAAACATAAACAAGAAGATAAGCTATTCATGTCTATGTCGATCCATTGGATATTTGTTTAAGAAAAATGGACAGTAGCAAGTTACTCAAAAACGATTGACATAACCAAGAACTAGATCAAGAAATATCCATGGATAAAGCCATATACCTATGTCACAACCATTGAAGGTCAGTACTACATTGGCAAAAGCTGAACTGTCAGAACCTATCCAGAAAAGTAAATAGTCCTCGATTTTGCTTCCTTCTGGCAAGTCCCAAGTTAGCCCTCCTAGTCTATAACTCCTAGATGAGGATAAGCTATCACTAGAATCACTTTCGCTATATGATCTCGGATGCTCCATGGATTATCTAGGATCTTTGGATGGACTAATGAATGAACACAAGACATTGGCTACAGATAACTTCAACTGAGACTCAGTCTTCGATAATCCTATTTCTTCTTGGATATGGGGAATCACATGCGTGTATTGTAGACCATAAAGAATCTGAAAACAAAGCAAAGATTGAGAAAACAGAACATGTTTATCAATATGTACTTCATAAAGATAAACTAGCCTCATATACATAATAGGCTCCAAATGCTTAACGCAGCTGGAGACGTTTATCGAAGCTTTTCCGAAAACGAAGAATGCTGGAAGAACCGATGTCCTGCGAAAACATAAAACCTCACAACAAGACATTGTTTCAACAAGGGAATTTACAGCAATTACATAAATCAAGAAAAGGGTTTACGACTCACGGGCTTAGACATGTTTGACCGTAATGAACAACACATTCAGCATCAATATGCAAAGCTCCAACTTCATCAATGCAGCAACTACCATAAGTTGTGTCAGCCATTACAAAGAACCTGACTTCTCTGTCAGTAAGCAAACGAGTTTTGCTCTTAAGAGCACTCACGACCTTAGTCGAATCCTTTAACAACTCATCCGGGAACTATCACAGAAACAAGACAAAGAAAAAACTAAGCTTTATCATCTCCATATTCATTAAATTAACAATTTTAGCTAAGAAACAAAATCAAACTTCTCCATTCAGAAACTGGAGTCACGGAGAAAAGTTTTGGTACCTGTAAAGCAATTCTGGTGAAGCTTTTGCTGATAATGAACTCCGCTGTACAATTAATCTCAAACTTTGATTCAAATTCCAACTCCATAGATTAATCACCGGAAATTGTCAACCTTTCCGGCCGAATAACTAAAATCGTATTTCGACTTGGATAAATTGCGGCTGGAGACGAAACAAACCAGATGATCGATGAAACGGTGCCGTTTCGGTTGAGCCTTATGGGGACTATCAAAAATTCAAACACACCGGCGAATCACTGGTTTCCTTATTTACCAAACCCGGTTTAAGCATATTTATCGGTTAAGGTAAAGCGACATCGTTTTATCCCTCGGGGAACGAAATCTATATATACATTTTTGATTACTTTTGAATATGTTTAAATTTATAGCAGATAAATTTTTGGTTACTTATGAAATATAATTAAATACTAGTATATATAATCTGTTTTCGTAACAATGTCAATTAAATTAATTTAGCCAACTCGAATTCAAAATTTAATAGAGTGAATTTGAATAAGTAAATTATTAAAAGATCGACTCAAGAGCTAAAGGGTCGTGAGAGACAACAAGGGCAAAAGGGTAATTTTCTTTTCTGAGAATCTTCTTCGCTACTCACCTCTTTTAGTACGAGTTTTTTTTTGTTTGTTACAGAGAGTGAGAGCGAGACTGTTATCGGTGAGGAGAGAGAGAGCTTGAGGCAGTTGTTGGGAGAGGAGCGCTCTGTTCATCGCAAGGTTTCGCGAATTTCCGGTGAGTCTCTGGCCAAAATATAGGTTAACTGGACTCACAGAGACTCTGTTATCGGTGAGAGAAAGCTTGAGGCAGTTGTTGAGAAAGGAATGCTCTGTCCATCGCAAGGTTTCGCGATTTTCCGGTGAGTCTCCGGCCAAAATATAGGTTAACTGGACAAATTTCTGTGTTCTTTCTTCGCTGCTTAATTCAATCGGTTAGATTTCTTAGGATTTGCGATTTGAAGCTGGATTGAGGTCGATTTCTTCACACGATACATTAGAATCAGGTTACTTAGAAACTAAACTGTTGTTCACTCGCGAAACTCGGTTCACACCATAGAGAATCGATCGATTAGACTCGTAGATTGACTCGGTAGAAGTAGAGTTTATCATAGAATCGATTTTAGAACTCGGTAACCTCTTAAAACCTAATAACCTTACATATTTATGTGCATCTCCATTTCTTACTTCATTCTCAGATACTGAATCTTGTTTTTTTTTTTTGTTTTTTTTTTTTGCAGATAATGGAACAACCCTATCTTGCTCCTCGTCGGGCAGACTTGCAATGTCACCTTTGGGATTGCCATAGGTGCCTCCTTCCTTATTGCATGGGGATCCATAAAACGGTTGCAGTGTCTAGTGAAGCCGACACGAGGGCAGCTGTAATAGTAGACGGTATTACTGATCACGCACAACTTGTGGCATCGGAAAATGTCTCAGAGGCACACTGCTGAACTTTCCATGTGGAGCACCTATACTTCCGGTTCATGTTTTGTTCATCCATCCGTGGCAGCAAGGAGAGGTCTTCGACCTTGCAGTTGGTCTAAATGAAAGAGAGCGGCTGTTTCTTTTTGCATCTGAACCCGAACCTCCTCAGCATATACAATCCATTTAGAGGCATATACAGACTAGGTGGGCTGCAGCGAATGTAAGAATGAGAAGTTGGTACTTAAGGTTCCCGATAGTTCAGAACGGTTTTTTTAGGCTAACTCAATTCTCTATAATGGGACATGGACGAGCTATATACTGGCTGTTGTTTAGGCCGTATATTCCAGAGATCATAATCCAGGAGCCCGGGACTGTGGAGATGCCAGACAACATTCCAGATCCTCGGCCTTCTAATCAACCATCACCAGATAGCCCAACGGATTCTCAACCATCTGGTTTGTCTGAGGTTGGAGATTGTTCTGCGTCCGAATCTCCCTTTCCTGTTGCTGGCATCAGCATTACGTTCATGCTCAACCAGATGCTTGACCTTGATGCAGGTACAACCAGTTTAAACATCTTCCATGATTGCATAGTTATTACTCTATAAGCCTACGGCTCTATGCTCTTACATGCATTGAGCGGCTATCTTGTGACAATTACTTTCGAGCTTATGACAGTATCCTATATATATACTAACAATAAATTCCGTCCTTCAATTTTACAGGGATACCACGACGTATTGTTTTGGACAATCTTCTGAGGCTCCTTTCCGGTAGTTCTCAGGCAATGCTGCAACCATTATAGATTACTAAGCTTGTGTGCCTACATTTGACCTTTGACTTGTGTTGTTAGCAGTGGAAGAATCTGCATCTGACATTCGTCATTGCACTGCCTTCAAGCTAATCGATCAGCAGTGGCTCTCCATGCGCGCTTCAGTTGCCTTCAACCGGAAGTATATCAACTTGCTGTACTTTGCTTGGGATTCAAAGGTAAGCATTTACAAACGCTTAACAAAACTGTCCCATATGATATATATATCAGGAAATGACATTGAATGTTTCTTAATGCAAATTTTCCCGTGCCTTTTGTTTGTTTCCTGCAGAAATCCTTCCAGGACCTTCAGTGGAAACAGGCTAGCGATTGTTCTGTGTCTGAATACCACAACTTCATACATGGAATTTAACGCAAGTATTATTCTACAACATGTTTGACTTAGTTGGACTTGTTTCTTTATCTTTACCTATATAAAGTCTCCAAACAAATAATGGTAATTTTGTGAATATCTAAATGACAGACGGTAATGAAATCGACAAGGATAGAGATAATGATTGAAGACATAACACAAGGAAAGGAAAAGTTTGTATCGTTTGACATGCCTTGAAGATTTGCCAGCATTCAAGCCTATTCATTACTGCCATAGCTTTTGGCGCCTTTTTTTTTTGTTGTCTCTTTTGAGAAGTAATTTGTCGGACAGCCTCCTTATGGTGTTCGGCATCGTCGGGCCAAAATTGGCATTCTTAAACCCTATATGTTGTAGACCCATATATTCTAAATTTGGTCTCAAAATTTTACGGCCAAAACTCACAAGTACCAATACATGAAAGTCGAACGCTCCATTTCATGTAACCTTCTAATCACAAACACCATTGTTTTCTTCCTCAAAGTCCTTTGGCTGAACAAGAGCAGAGTACCTGTACAATCGGGTCATCAAAACAGAGGCAGAGTCTATCCTCTGCTCCCCCTCTTGTTGTCTGTAAGAAGAAGAGTTTTGCTACGAAAAGGCTTTGTCTGTCTTCAAGCATTAACAAAAAGTTGGGGAACTCAGAGAGTTTCAGAGAAGTGTTGACTACTGATGAATTAAGAAGAAGCTCGAGGAGTACCAGTAAAAGGAGCGATGTGGTTGCCTAAGTTACCAAGAACGACAAACAAATAATCAGATTCCAGAGACTACTAAGAGAGGGAAAACAAGTCAAATAGTCACGGTAGAGAAAGGACATGTTTCTAAAAATCCAACTTCAAAACAAGCATATAAATTTATGGGTTTAGACACAGAAAAGAGGCTCGTGCAAGAGCAATGCGTCATGAAGCAATTTATGAATTTAATGTTACACAATAATTATATATACCTGGATGATTAGAGTTTCAAGCTTTGGAGACTGCTTAAGCAGATACGGCAGTAGTCTCCAACCTCGTTTATCCTTACTCCCAAAAGTTAAGCTTACCAGATTGTTGAACACCGGTAGCCGTAGTCCATGTTTAACACATCGAGAAATCACCTGAAATACACATGCGCACACGAACTTTAAGAATGTCCAATTAAGCTTTAAAAAGTTTAAAGAAAGTCGCAAACTTACATCAGCAGAATTGGCAGAGAGACGCATGGTCTTAATGTTGCTTATCCCAATAAAGAGACCCGATATATCCGGCCTCTTGATTATATTAGAATAACGAAGGTCCAGCCTAGCTTCGACCAGGGACTTCAAGTTAACTTGTGGATACAAAGACAATGCATAATCGGAGTAGTCCAGGAAGACAAGACTTGGGGCATCAAATGACATACCAAGATCAAGATCATAGTCAGAATCGTATTGAACTGATAGTTTCTCGATGATCCGACTCGATATGCAGAATGGAAGTCCTACATACTGCTTGTGACGTACAAATAGCTCCTCGAGCACCGGACAACCAGGAAGAAGCACATAACACAGATCTTCATATTCAAAAAAGATTGAATCGATGAAGAGACTCTTAAGCGCCGGAAGAGACTCTTAAGCGCCGGAAGAGACAAATCTGGAGGAAGCTTTCCAAAAGCAACTTGTGTTCCCAGTGTCAGCTTAACCAGCGTCTTGCTCGTGAAGAGCGCATGAGGTAAAAAGACATCACCATGAGTCTGTATATTTACGGGCAGTTGCCAAACACCAGTTTCAGAACGAGGAACGGGGTCCCAGCGAGGCTTAATACTTACGCCCAGCTCCACAACACCACGATCCAAGGCATTACATACCCAGCGGACCACATGAGCCAACTCGCTGTCGTGGTCATAGTGACATTTCAGGGAGAATTTCTTGAGAGGAGAAGCGCATTGCAAAGCGAGTGTTCTGTCGACAAAATTCCTGAAGCACTCCTTGATCACATCCCTCCTTTGTTTACCCTCTTCCGGTTGCAGCAAAACAGAATCATCAAAATCGAGATTATGCACCAATGCAAACACATTCCTCCACTTTTTGGAGAGAAGAGATGTTGAAGCAGCCAGTTTGGTGGGAACTAAGGACAAGATGTCTCCCAGAACCTCATGAGGGAGCCAGCTGATTGCATCTTTGGAGCCAGTATCCAAATTTTTTGTATCCATATAGACAGAACCAGCCTCTTCCTTAAAAGTGTCTGAAACATGATGAAAGTGAGATCAGAGTGATTCAACAGCTGGATAAACCAACATGCAGCCGAACAAAAAGTTGGATATTTCTAAAACCTTGCGAAAGCTCAAAAATTGTCTGAATGTTATTGATAACCAGAGAGATAACAAAGAACGGAGAAGTTCCACAAACCATACGATCCAGTTTTCATAACTACAAAGATTTGAGAAAGCAATTACGAGATGAAGCTGAAGTTTAAGAAAAATAACAAGGTTAGAGAAGCTTTTTTCTCAAGGGAAGATTCGATTAGTGCCAATCTACAACAGCCGATTAGTGCCAATCTACAACAGCTACATCAAAACCAGTCTATCTATAATCTAATGGAAGCTCGAAAGAACAAGACTTTGAGAGCGAAGCAGAGGAAATCACGGAGAACAGAGATCAGAGAAGATCCACATCCCAAAATTGCAATTGACAATAACAAGGTTACAGAAGCTAAATGTTCACACTTTTCCCCGTTTGGAATTGAATTGATTGAAAAATTAGAGCTCGAAATAACACCATGAAGCTCAAAATAAAACTTTGGGGCGCCTGTAAGAAGCAGAGGAAATCATGGAGAACAGAGGTCAGAGAAGATCCACATCCCAAAGCTTGCAATTAACAATGACGTTCGACAAAGAAAAAAAAAACAAAACTAAAAGAGGGTTTAGAAACTAAAGCGTCAACCTTTTAATTTTCCGATTGTATTCAAAGGTTCTGGCTTTCTCGCAAGTGTGGAGGACGTCGCACAGAGAGAACGATAGAGTCTCCGATTCGGTTAAATCTATTTATTCCCAATGTTTCCCATTGTCGTCTTTTAAACCGGACTATCAATCATACCGGCGAGCTCTAGGTTTCCGTATTGATTAAAACCGGTTTTAGTATTTATTTATCGGTCGAGATTTGCAAATCTATCAATCACACACTGGTTTCCCTATTTATCACACCCGGTTTAAGTATATTTTATCGGTTCTGACAACGACATCGTTTAATCCACCGCCGTCAAAAACAATTTCTTCGTTTAATGGACGGCTGAAAATTAAGGAATCAACAACTCTCACATGTGTGTGCAAACATTCTCTCTTCAAACAATCTCATACGAAGCCAGTAAAACAGTTTCTGACCTAGCACAAATCTATCTTTGTGATCAAACTGAACTTCTTGGAGTTTGCTATTCGTGCTTGTATCCAGACGCCTTCCCGCTTCTCCCAACTATGTAAGGCTCTGGCGAAGTATTCTCACTATTTATCTCCAACCCGCGATAAGCTCGGCTGAGGAAATACTCAGGTCCTGAATTTGCAGCGGTTTGTTTAGTCAGTGAGTTATGATCATTGCCTCTCAACTGCAATGCTTTCTCTGCAGCTTGTACCAATGCCATTGTCTCTCCTGTGTCTTCTTCTCCATTCTTAGCTTGATCTGCATCAAGTACCACACTGTTTGTCAAACTCATGGAATCAACAAAAAAGGCTTTTCTTGACTGAACAATGTATCCCGCTTTCTATGATACCGTTTGTTTTGTGATCTTCTACGTAACCACCCTGAAAGAAGGAGAACCGTGGCTCTTCTGATCCGCTATGTGCTTCTGATTCTGATTTTACAGAGTTGATCACATCTTGGAAATGCATTAGGTATGCACCTGTCCATTCACTCCCTCTGTGGAAACAGAAACACCAAAGACACCAACTCAGGAACTCGTGGATCGAATACAAATACTATAACGATTTTTGCATTATAATAATTTCTCTATGTACCTGCTAAAAGCAAGATTGGCTTCGAATGGAGTAATGACAGGGGACATGAACTCTTTGCTATCTAAAAGAGCAGTTTGGGCACAAGAGATGTAGATGAAAACATCGCACTAAGCAAAAAAACATAAGACATGAAAAGGTATTACTCATTTGACA